TGGCCTAGTCAGACCAAACAACCTTCTTAGAATAATAACAGTTGGCCATAAACACCATCATGTACGTAGAAATGATCCTTTAATTGTCTAGAACTTGTTCTGACCAACAACCATCACACATGCTGATGAGAATGCAGAAACTCATCCAGGGTATCAATCCTGCCTAAGAAACACAGGTTTTGTCTTCAGCCTGAGACTCCTGGATGGATGTAGAACTGATCTGGTGTCAGGTTCTACCAGAACCCAGATGTGTTCTTCCTCCTAAATGTCATGTGTCTATCTGCTGCACTGATGAAGTTCTGAGGCTCAGAAATGATGGAAAAAGTCCATTAAGGTGATCAATCTGGACCCTCCTCTGTGGACTTCAAGGACCTGGAACTCTGTAAATAGTCATAGTATGAAGGTAGAACTGTGCAGGTCTTTATTAAATATACTAAAGTTACCGTAGATTTAAGAAAAGTCAGGTCTTTCGATGGGAGGATGCCTTCAGGGTTTCCATAAACTTTGCTGCATTCATTTTACACTCTGTCTTTACGAGCCTTCCAGGACCTGCAGTCGAAAGTATCCCACATGGTGATGCTGCCCCCTCCATGCTTTACTCAATATACTAAAGTCACCATTGATAAAAATGATTTTTCTTTTCTTTTTCTTTTAATGCTGACTTTGAGTAACGCTCTGGTTGATTTGTATTCACATGAGCCTTGTGATGTGTTGCTCAGGTGTGCATGCAGTACCTGAAGGACACCAACATGCTGTTTGTGGGGGGGCTGATGGTGGCCGTGGCCGTGGAACACTGGAACCTCCACAAACGCATCGCACTCAGAGTTCTGCTGATGGTCGGAGTCCGACCCGCCCTGTGAGTCACCGGGTCCACACATTCACCTCCAGCTTCACCGGTTCACACTGAAAACACACCAAACCAGTCGTTTAGTAATGTCTGTACAGCACAATGTGTCCAGACACAGAACTCAGTAAACGCACAGTGTTTATTTTACTAATTTACATTAGGAGGTCAGTGCATTTCACTTTTTGTTGCCCAAAGAGAGCAAGTATAATTTTTTACTGTCTGAGAAGTTATTCAGACATTTTGTTTTTTCATAAATGGTAAAGGCACTTTTAGAGCGCCTTTCTTCCTCAGTGGTGCCCAAAGCGTTACAGTGCGTTTGCAGAATATCAAGCAGGCATCTCCTGCACACGACCAGACAGCAGCGACCTGCAGCTCCTTGGGAAGGTTTCATTTGTGCCTTGCTGTGCTTTAAAAAGCGTCTCTGGTCGTAGCATCGTGTTTTCCTTCGTCTCGCAGGCTGATGCTGGGCTTCATGGGGGTGACGGCCTTCCTGTCCATGTGGATCAGCAACACGGCCACCACCGCCATGATGGTGCCCATCGTCCAGGCCGTCCTGGACCAGCTCAATGGCAACGTGGATCCCCAGGCCTCCTCCGAGACCCAGAGCAGGACTGTCGGCCCGCTTCAGGAGAAAACCGCCCTGCCGACAGATGATCCAAACATCCTGGAGAGCGGTAAGATGTTGGTGAATGACAACTCAGAGCTTCTGTTGGGGTCCAGTTTTAAGTTCTCAAAAAGGCTTTTGCAAATTATCATGTAAACACGTTGAAATATCTGTTCTGGAC